CTTGAAAATATGCTGATTTCTTGGTTTTCAAAGAAACAAAATTGTGTTGCATTATCTACCACTGAAGCCGAATACATTTCAGCTGGTAGTTGTTGTGCACAAGTTTTATGGATAAAACAACAACTTTTTGATTATGGAATTGAAGTAGGTACCATTCCTATCAAGTGTGACAATACTAGTGCCATTTGTCTCACTAAAAATCCCATCCAACACTCTAGAACTAAGCACATTGAAATTAGACATTACTTCATTAGAGACCATGTCACTAAGGAAGATGTAGTTCTAGAATTTGTTGATACTTTGCACCAATTAGCGGACATCTTTACAAAACCTTTAGACAAGGACCGTTTTTGGACACTTAGGAGAGAATTAGGTTTAACTGACCTATCTTCACTTGGTGTTTAAAATAATTTTAGCACTTTAAAGAATAAATGAAAAATGCTTATAATAGTAATTTCTGATTACATTCATTGCTATTAGTTAGGGGGAGTTTATGATTCTTGATGAAAAATTAACTTTATGTTCAAATGTAGTTTAAGGATTAATTTGATTGATTGAACATAATTAATTTTTGATATATGAGTTGCCAATACCACTAGAGAAGATTAATTTAGCATTTTGAGTGTTTAAAATACATATTTTTGAATTATAGGGCAGAGGGAATTGATACCCCCTTGAAGGGGAACCGATTCCCCCTTTGAAGGGGAACCGATTCCCCATTTGAAGGGGAACCGATTCCCCCCTAGGGGAATCGATACCCCCTAGGGGAATCGATACCCCCTGGGGTTCTGGTTTTTAACACGGACAGAACACCCAAAATTTTCAAACCCTCTCTTCTTCTCTCTTAGTCGTTCCTCCTCTCTACTCTCTCCTTATCTCCATTTTGCCTCAAAACAACATTTTTAATCAGAATTCTCTTCAAATATCATCTCCTAAACCTGTTGGAATCAACAAAATCGTGTAAAATTCATCTAATCTCACTCAAATCCGAAATTCTTCAAGGTATTTTTCTAAAACCTCTATTTCATTAATTTTTTATTTTAGAACTAGTTTAATTAGTTCTATGTTGAACTTTAGATCGGACATTGATTGGTTAGTGATTAGAAAATAGATTTTATAACTAATTTTATCAAAAACTAGATTTTGCAACTAATTTTATCAAAAACACAAGAATTTTCCAAAATTCTTTGAATTTTTCGAAATAAAAAAATTGTTTTTCAAATTATTGTGTTTTGATTGAATTATGTTGTTGTTATGAAAACTATACATATATTGATATTTAAAACCTTATTTTTCAATAAGTTTTTCAAAAACTTTGCCCATTAGGATTAGTTTAGAGAACCTTGAAATATTGAGGACTCAATTGAGTTTTGGGATTTATTACATTGTATACTTGTGTTTTATAATTGCAGGTTATTCATTTTATTCCGATTTTCTTAAACCATGTCAAATCCTAAACGTACTAGGTCTTCATCTAGTCGTTCAAACCAACAACCAAATCCACCTCCAAATCCTCCTCCTATTCCTGAAATTCCTATTCCTAATCTCGTTGATCCTAATATGACTATCCAAAACCCGTGCTTCAATCATCCTGGTCCTAGAAATCATCTTTTTTGGTATTATCAATATTTTGACTCTTACAAAATTAGAGAAGAACGTATCCCTTCTCTTCAAGCTATGATAGATATCAATTTTAGATATCTTCCTCTTTTACAAGAGTGGAAATTTGATAAACTTTGTGACCTTGAACCTATAGTTTACCATCAACTTGTTTGCATCTTCTATTCTAATGTCGTTTATATTAAAAACCGAGCTCAAACCAAAACCATAGGAGTTCGTTCCTATCTCCTAGGACAATTCTTCCATCTTGACTCGGCTTACATAGCCAATAAATTAGGATTAGATAATGATGGTATATCAAATGAAAAATAGTTTTTAGGTTCTCGTTATAAAAGAAGGGATAGTGCGACCGTCTTAGATCTTCATGATCGTTTTCTTCATCTAATGATTTCTTGGTGGTTTCGACCATCCGGAGGTCGTTACTCAACTCTTAGAGCCTTGGATCTTTGGTGGTTACATTGTTTCCAAAAAAATATTAAAATAAACCTACCTCAGATTATTTTTGCTGAAATTGTTGAGACCGTAAATCTTGTTCCTAATAAGAAACTCTGTTCATCTATTGTCTACGGTTGCATTCTGAGTAATCTATTTTCTAAAGTCGGGCTTAAAGTTGGTTGAGATGTCGTCTTTCCTCTAAAAAAACAAATTAATCTTCTTTCCTTAACGAGAGCGGGATGGATAAAGAATAAAGAAACTGGTGAATGGGTTTGATCTTCTAAGAATACTCCGGGAGCTAGTTCTTCACAAGCTCCACCTGAAGCCGACGATGATCCCGAGCTTGAACAATTAATGCAAGATATTGACGAAGCCGACGATGAGCCGGAGCAGCACGGGGAACAAACTCAGCAAGAAAATCAAGTGCCTCCATATTTTCAATCATTTATGAAGACATTTGATTTTCGTTATGCATCCTTAGATTCTCGCTTCACTTCCATAGAATCTCACTTCTCGACTATGGAAGCTCAATAATTAGAAATTCTCCGGGAGATGCGTACAAACAATGAAGCAACCAACGCTCGTATTAATGCACTCACTCATGAAATGGCAGCTATGCGAGCTCATTTCCCTCCTCCCGATCCTCCTACATATGCTTAAACTTTGATCTTTGCTTTGCTTGTTTGGATTGAACTTGGATATTTCCATTATTGTTAAAACATTTTTGAATGATTTTGGATTGTTTATTTTTGGCTGTTCGAACTTATGTTTAATACATTTGATTTGGATTTCGTGTTTATTTTGCATCTTTAGACATATATGACCAATTATCCATTACATGTTTATGAATATTGATTATGAAACTAATGGCTAACCTCTCTTTTGATTGTGATCTTAGCAGCTTAAGCTTTATATTAATAAATTAATTGGCTTATGTTTTTCAAAATTATTGTTTAAAACATTTTTATAGGGTCTTTTTTATTTAACAAAAAGGGGGAGAAAGTGTTAAAGTAAGGGGAAGTAGTATTTTTCAAAATCAATATTCATTTTGAAATTAGAAAATCTTAAAATGTTTTGTTATATCAAAAAGGGGGGAGATTGTTGAAAACATTTTGATGTTTCGATATAAGAAATTAAATTAAAAGAATTTTAATCTTGAAAATGATTTTTCTAAGCATATTTGATATATTAAATCGAATATCAAAATATTACTCAAAGTATTTCAAAGTTCATTTTAAATCCTTACTAAAGTGTAAAATTAAGTTTTAATCTTAAAATAATTTCAAAACAATTTTAAAAAGTATTTCGAACCGTTTCAAAGCAAAAAATTACAGTTTGTCCAGAGGGAACCGATTCCCCTCCCAAGGAGGTACCGATTCCCCCCTGAATGGTTTGGCTCCGAGAAATTCCAATATGCTCGGAGGGAACCGATTCCCCCCAGGGGGTATCGATTCCTCCTACTGTTCAACGGTCGAATATTTGAATTTTACACTTAGGGAACCGATTCCCCATGAGGGGGCACCGATTCCCCCCATGCTCCAAGCAGAAATATTAGTTGTTTTCACACTTAAACGGCTCCAATAACTTCATTAATGATCTCCTACGTTCAGAAGTGATTCAAGGTGTATTTAAGCAAGCTTAGAAGCCATTGATCAATAACAAGAAACAACAAGCAACTAGAATCAAGAGAGAATCAAAGAGAAAACATCAAACCTCAAGTTTGAGCATTTCAAGCCTATTTTTTATTCAATATTCATTTTGCTTTCAAGAACACTACTTGTACTCAATTGTATTCATTCTTGAGTGTTCTTTTCGTTGTTCTAGAATTGTGCAAACAATCTACCTTATGAGGATTTCCTTGTAAGTTTGTAAATTTGTATTGTTCTCTTTGAGAGAGAGTGTTCTCAAGAATTTGGGGTATAATTCTTGAGGGTTTGTAAGGTTACTCTTTGTCCTCAAAAGAAAGACAAATTAGTGAATTTGTGGAAAATCCTTAGTGTGGATAGCTAAGGTAGTGGAAAGTCGAACCACTCTAAATCGCTGTGCAATTACTTTCAATTTTCTGCAAAAGCTTCCACCAAATTTTTAATTGTCAATTCACCCCCTCTTGGCCGATTCCGTCAATCGATTAACTCAACAAAAACCATAGGGGGAAGAAACACACTCATTGTACTTCTACCAAGCATAATACAAATCGAGTGAATTTCAGCAAAGGCATCCAATATCCAACAAGTTGATATATCTAAAAATAGAAGAATCACATAAAAGAAAAAAATTTGACCAACAAATTGATAGCAGCATCCTAAACAAGTAAATAAACTGATTTTAACGACTGAATTCATTTCAAGATCAATTCAAACAACAATCATTTAGAAAAACTCTATGAAAGTCAGATACAGGAAGACAATAAACAAAGCTGAAATATCAGGTTAATCACTAATCAAGGCCGTGAGCTTTTATGTTAGAGACGAATTTATAAAATTCTAGGGAGAAAAAATAGACTATCCATAGAAAATATAAATAAAATACCTAAATTATATGAGAATTTGAAATTTTAGTGAGGTCACCGATATCATTAAGCTAACTTTTCAAACCCTAACTGAGTAACAAGAAAACCATAAGTAAAATCATACAAACATCATCACCTTTATCTAATGGCTGTTCCCATCGATAAAATGATAGACAAAACCTGAAAATCAACCCATGAAGCAAACAACCGATAGCACAGAAAAAAACCAGACTGACCCAACAACACAACTAAACCAGCAGGTCTACCTGGTATCAATCAAGAGCAGAAACAATCCATTTCATAGATAAGAAAAATCAAAATTCAAATAAAGAAGCAGTTTTAAGGATTGGGTATCGAAGATTAATCTCAGTTATGGTCAAAAAATACAAGTAAGATTTAAAAAAAAAATCAAAAGAGAAGTATGAAAGAATCTTACTTGGAATTGGGGTTGAAAAGTCGAGAATGAATGAATCAGTGAGAAGTTGATGATTGGATGGAGAAAAGCCAACGTTTTGGAAACCCAAGAGCCGAATTAGCACAACAGAGAAATATTCTTTATCTATTAAGCTCACGTGGACCTGGTGGCTTTGGTTTCTTCTCTGTTTTCTACAAAAGACAATAATTTTATTACACGTAGGAAAAGTACTTCATAGTTTTTTGTCTTCTATTTGTTTGGGAAAAGCACACAAACGCTCCCTTAGTTTCACATTTTTTACAAATGACACCCTATAATTCTATTTATGTTTTAGATTTCATTCCCGTTACTAGATGTGAGAAAAACTTGATTCGAAAAAATTATATTTTATGACTCGATTCAACATTTATTCTATTTATGGTCATTAATGTTTTAGTAAAATTTATGGTCTTAATTAATCCATATCGATCTGCGTTGCACACTTGATTTTAGTGAGTGAATCTCTTAGTAGACATTTTTTTGTATACACAACGACTCAAACTCGAGATCTTGTTTAAACGATATCAAACCACTTATCATTTGAACCAGAAATATTTTATATTAATTTTATAAAGAAAACTTATTTTTTTTAAAAAATAACACCTCTCGTTATAAGTTAGCTCTGCCAATGAATAAAATCCATTGTACTTAACCCCCCACCTCACCCCCACACAGCATCCAAACACCAGCAAATCATACCAACAACATAGAAGAACAAGAGGAAACTTTGGCTCAACTCTCGATTAAAGAAAAGAGGAAACTTTGGCTCAACTCTCGATTAAAGAAAGGTATAATTCAGAAGGTTATAATCGGATAAGGGCTTCATAGACAGTATTTCTACCTGCTTAACCTTAATTGAGTAATAATTTTGGATTCAAATAGATGTAAAAATAAGATTTTAAGAAGTTAGTTTTCTTCGTATGTATCTTTTGTTCAAATTTTGTAGTTAGGATTTTAATTTTTTTTTGTACGGTTCTAATATGATTTCAAGTAATTAATTTTTTATATCAATAATTATAGAGAAAATGTATTAGCTACATGTCTAGTTACGATTATAATTATAATCTTTCATTTAAAAAAAAAATAAATTTAACCGCTTTTGTAAAAAAAAAAATAAGTGCAGTTCCCTAGTTAATCTCTCAAACTCAGTCACCACAGTCGATCTCTATTCTATCTTAGTCATATCCCAAAAATCATCTTCCTCACCGACTCACCACCGTCGACCACATCTACTCCGATTGAGAGTCAGACCCCCCACATCCCTTTCAGCTTAACACCAATCTACACACCTTGTTGAAAAGTCCACTGTTGTCGACATATTTCTTCCTTATCGTTTATCTTCCTTATCGTTTATCCCCTCATCAACTCGCATGGTACCAAGGACATATTTGATTACCTTTTGTCAACACATATTTTCGTCCGATCGTATTATATGGCATTTACGTGTTAATTTATATGTTATTATTTATAGTTTATAGTGTAGGCGTATTATATTACATACTATATTATATATTATAATTATGTAACATATATTATTACTAATTTATTTTCATTTGTTTACAGAATCAGGCCCATTACAAAACTGATAACTCAATACAAACAAGCCCAGAGGCCTAGTGTTTACAAACTCAAAAGCCCACTACAATAGTAGACCCAAGCATCAACCCGGTCCACTTGAGCAATTTGGGACCCGATCCACTAGAGCAACTCAAACCAGTTAGGGTTTCAAAACCCTAACTCTCTCTTTAGTTCCAGCCGCATCTCACCAGTCTTCTCAGTGCCGCAACACCACTTGGTTAACCCCAAGTTTCCCGGCGTTTTCCTCGGCACCAACCACCAACAAGCACAAAGTTTAGTTCCATTAGGATTCTATCGAACTAAAAATAACACATTTTTTTATTATAAATACACATATAACGACACAAATTTAAGAGGAGATTTACGAAAAACTACGAAGAAAATAGAGCATTTGTAAAGAGCAACGAACCGAAATAAAGGGTAAAAAATTCTCACATTTCTCGTTTGGCTGTTTGTATGTGGGTCTAGGTACTTATTTTTTTTCTTATTTTTCTTTCGGTTCGTGACTCAAAAGAAAAAAACCCAACGAAATAAAGGAGGCCGATGAACGGATGGGAGGGCAGTCGAGGAGTTTTCCTCATATCTAACCTTCCTCGAGGCTTATTTTTAAAAACCAAGTTGTTTTTGGAAAAGTGGGATCGAGGGCTTTCGAAAAAATAAATTTGTTATGTTTTGTCGCCGATGAACGATGGCTGGCGAGGCGACGTTGGTCGAGATCTGGGTCCCTATGAACCCAGACGGCGACAGTTCTTCCTCTTCAAGAACAAAGGAGAGAAAACCCAAAAGGGGGTTTGTGTTTGGCAAAATGAAGGAAATGAAATGTTTAAGCCAATTTTTGGGTTTTATATGTAACTCGTGTACTCGAGGGCGACCCGCGCGTGACACGATCCAGGGCCTGAGATCTGCATGTTTTTTGTTAAAAAGAGGGGAAATTCTCATTTCGGTCCCCCTTATTTTCTAAACACTTATTTTGGCCCCCTTTCATCCAATTGTATCCCGAATTCCTCTTAAATTGACCTTCAATTTTATTTTATTTTTCAATTTAGCCCCTTCACATTTTAATTTCTTTTTTTATTTCATATTATTTATTTATTTAAATATTATATTTTATTATTATTATATATGTTTGTTTCTTTATTTATTTTATTTATTTCATTTTACATTAATATATATATATATATATATATATTTCTTCCTTTATTTTATTTATTTTAATGTTAATATTTATATGTACATTTTATTTTTAATTTTTACCTTTTGATTGTTTCTGTTTTTTTCTTTCTTCCTAACATTTTTATTATATATTTATTTCTTCTATTTTATTTATCTAATGCTACATCATATATATATATATATTATTTTTTCTCTTTTTGTTTTCTTTTTCTCTTTTTGCTTTTTTTCTATTTAATTTCATTACCTATTTTTCTTTTTTTCTTTGTTTTATTTAATTTTGTTTTTTATTCATTTCATTTCATTTCATTTTTATTTATTTATTTATTTATTGTTTTGTTTTATTTTGTTTTATTTTTAATTTTATCTTTCCTCTATTTATTTTATTACTTTTTTTCTTTTATCATTTTATTTTATTATTATTTTTAGTCATTTTCTTCGGGTTTCCACAGTTTTATTTTAGTTTCTTTATGGTAGCAGTCATTTACATTTAGTTTTGCAATTAGTATTTTCATATTTATGCATGCTTTTGTCTTAATTCGATTCTGTACTTTATTACATCTAACGTTTTTCTTGACTTTTTAAGGGTACATTTTAAATCTATTAAATGTAAGTAGTCTGGATCAAATTTTACCTTTTAATTTAACTTGCAATTTTCTTAATTAAAGACAATTGAAAATTAATTAGTACCGAAAGGGCAGTTCAAGGGTGCTAACCCTTCCTTGACTGTAACCGACTCCTGAATCTGACATATCTTTGGTAAGATGCAGATCAGTTAAGAAATCGAGGTATCCAATCAATCTATTTGTTTTAAAAATAAATAATTGGTGACGACTCTAACCATTATTTCAAATCGAAGCCCAATTCCGAACCCACCCGAAAGACGGCTTTTGAGTGAATCATTTGTTATTGTGGCTATGGTGTTGGTGGATTATCTTTGACGAAATAGATGACACAATTCGTTCAATTGCAATAGTGAATTTTGTTTATGTGTCGAGTAGTCAAAATAGAATGGCTTAGACCATCTCGAGTCCTCATCTCTACTCTAGTGCATCTCTATCTCTACTCTAGAGCGTTATCTCTACATTACCACAAACTCTACTTTATTCACAATATTTAACTATTATAATATTAATTTTATAAATATAAAAAAATCAGGAAAAAAATTACAAAAAATTATAAAAAAATTAGTATGATTATTTATCTAATTTAAATATATTTTTATCTATCTTATAATTTAATATATTTTAATTAAAAAGAAAGTAAATGTAGCGTAAGCTACCGTGCCACACAGTGCCACGCTAGATGTGACGTGGCACTGTAGCATTCCTCCACTGTAGCGTTAGAAGTGGCGCACGGTTGGAGCACTCCGAAGTGGAGATATCTCCACATTGTTGCACCGTTGGAGTTGGTCTAAGCATTTAATTAAAGAAAGGGTGGCTAGGCGTGAGTTATTTAAAGCACGTGTGACTTTGTTACGTGTTGGATTTCGACCAACAATCTATTTAATTTGTGTGTGTGAGAAATGGGTTTTTAAAATGTAACTTTTAAGTAGAGAGTACGAAAGAATACATTATAACGCAATTAAATACTTGCACTCCAAAATGAAAATCTTGAATGAAAAGAAAAAAAACTCTTTAAGAGACTTTTTTAAAGAAACTATTTTATTGTATTTCTGACATGTACATATAGGTTAGGAAAGATCTTAGAATTGAACTAGAGATGAGATATATAGATAGAGACAGGCAAAATCTCGTTGATAGTGCGTTGAAATTTTTTTTTTCACGAAATAGTGGGATCGTCAGATTAATTGCTCAAGTGGTGTCCTCTACAGTACCGGGGGTAGGTCGCCATGCACGCCCGGCGACCTACCAGGTCGCCATGCACGCCCAGCGACCTGGTAGGTCGCCATGCATGCCCTGCGACCTACCAGCCAACGACCTCCATGCCCATGCACGCCCATCTCGCCAAAGGAGCACGCCCATCCATGCCCTGCTGCATGCTCGCCTGCTCGCGACCTTGCCGGGACTCCATGGCCCCGAGTGTCCCATGCATGAACCGTTCCTTGGTCGCCTCGAGTGCCCCATGCATGAACCGAGCCCCGAGTGCATGGCACGATCTCCCCATGAATCCTTGGTCGCCCCGAGTGCATGGCGACCTCCTTGGTCGCCGGGTGCATGGCGACCTAGGAGGTCGCTGGGAGTGCATGGCGACCTATGGTTGGGTTGTGCATGTCCCATGCAGAGCAAGCCACGTCGTAGGTCGCCCGGAAGGCATGGCGACCTACGGCCACACTGTTGATTTCACCCTATTTCAGCAAATAATGTTGGGATAACGTTATTTCGTGAATTATTTATTTTGAGGGCA